AGAAAGAAAGAAAGAAAGAAAGAAAGAAAGAAAGAAAGAAAGAAAGAAAGAAAGAAAGAAAGAAAGAGGCAACAAATTCTTCTAATGTTCTGTTTTCATAAGACTGAGACTTGCAGAAAGGTCTGGATATTTAAGATTTCCCTACTTCTGCTAGGCCTAGTCTTTATGACAATTATGTGATCTAGAGTAGGAAAATACTGGCTTCCTCTAACATCTAGTTTAGTAGGTTGCAAGATTACTCCCTTTTTTCTCTGCGTCTCCATCACAAACTCAGCACCATGGAATTCCACAGGAAATTTGTCTTCTTGAAACACACAGCAAAACTGCCAAATTGCCAATCTCATCTATATCCTTTATCATAAAATAGTCTTTTGCAATATATTACAGTAGTAATTCTCATCTACCAAGACTCAGGATCATATTTATCTTCTGATATTAATATTACAAAATCTGCTTTGTTGACCACCAATCATCTTGCAGGCCTGGAAGCCTTCAGTATGGAAGAAGCCAGCAGAAAAGGGAAATTTGGTCAATGGCAAAGCTCTAATCAGGGAGACCTAAAAAAGATAGCTTAATAACAAGTCTCCTGGTCATACAAAACTGAAGGATATTACAACTGCACAAGCAAGGCTTTAGATGTTTATTGTCTTCCTTTAGGGGAACAGAGCTCATGCACATCTTAGAGTAAGGTATAATGTTTAACTCCATTTGCTATCATTTATAATTTCTGCCAAAAGTGGATTATGCATTTTCCTACATTCTTAAAATAAAACTTACTAGTTACCATTTAATCTCTCTTAATAAATCACAGTTATCCTTTTGATGTACAAGCTGTACAATCATTGAGAAATGTCTGCAGGGGTTATCTGATGTGCAGAGTTGCCTGCCCTGCCATAGAATGGCTCCAGGCTGCTATGTTTTTTTAACTTCCCATATATTTTTTTTCAAAATGGTTTATTTCTCTCCTCCCTTGTTGTCAAGCTGTCAGTCAGCTGTCACTTTTTACTGCTGTCAGTGAGCCTGCCTTTATCACACCCCCAATTTGATGCTGCTAATCTGCTGTCAGATGAAAAATCAGATAATCAAGACCTCCGAAACTGCATTTACAATAAATGGTGGGCTGAGTACTGGATGAAGATTTTGAGATACAACTTCTAGTTCCTGCTCTGCCTGTATCTAGCTGTGTGATTGCCAGAAGACATATAACTTCTCTGGGCCTTGCTGCCTTCATCCATAAAATAAGGAGGGGGGTGGGGGGGTGGTGTGTGTGTGTGTGTGTGTGTGTGTGTGTGTGTGTGTGTGTGTGTG